TCCGAACTCTAAGAAACAGAGATTAGAAATATGTCTGGGGCCAGCTCTGGGCGAAAATGGCGCAAATGAATTGTCTAAAGGATCGGAATCAGAAAGAGTTTCAGCTTTTAAAAATGTTGAGTCTTCACCTAAGCAACGTACTTCTGAGAGTAAGGAAAGAAAAGAACCCGCCGCTATCGGAAAAATAGATATCTCTGAATTAAGTGGCCCTGAAAGATATAAGATGCAAGAGTCGAACAGTGCAGAAAAAACTGAATCAAAGGGTAGCATAAAATCCGTGAATCTTTATGGAAACATAATAGATGCTGTAAGTATTTCAACAGGTAAATTGGGAAATGTTTGGTTATTTGTACAGTGTTTTTGTGGAGGAGATCGGAGGGGACTGACTTTAGTGAACAACGACAAGTGTGTTTCATACGGTGTTCGCGATTGTACTGGCAACTTTTAGTTGAAAGCAAAAATCGCCTGGTGTGAACGGCCTCAGCGCAGGGTTATTTTTTTTTTTTTTTGGGGTTTTGAGTTCGATGGCAAGTTACCCAACGCCAGGTTATCCCTCTGCTTTAATAGTTGTGACGTGTTACACGAAGGTGTACCTTGAGGATAAAACGTAAAGTGCAATAGCACTTGGTGAGAGATGATAGTTGCGTTCGCGTAGCTAATCTCTCTGAATTAATAATTATTTTGTGATACACGAAGGTGTAGCTTGAGGTTCAAACGTGATGTGCAGTAGCACTTGATGAGTGACAATAGTTTCGTACGCGTAGCTAATTTCTTGTTGACTGATCCAAAAGTNCTTGAGGTTCAAACGTGATGTGCAGTAGCACTTGATGAGTGACAATAGTTTCGTACGCGTAGCTAATTTCTTGTTGACTGATCCAAAAGTTTGTTAGATAGTGTAACTAAACCGAGGTGATCAATGGCATGTGAATCATCTTTATCGTTGACTTCAGCTGGACATCTTTGTTTGTTCGAAAGACTGCAGAGGTAAGTGACGGATATGTTGAGATGTAGTATTGTAATCCGTGTAGAAGATCGTGGACGTCAAGGCGATTTGAGGTGAATCAGATGTGCGTGTAAGATGAGGTGGTTGAGTTGACTTGAGCGATAGGACAGTCATTTAAGACCGAGCAGTGATGAATGAGTGAAGGTATAATGGAGGGAAGGACAGGGAGGATTGAGTGAGGTGGACGGTATTTCCACCCGTGATAAGTAATGATCATGATTAATATTATATTAAAATTTTAGAATTTAGCTTCAACTTTAGTTAGGAACTCAGCAAGCAGAGTGACTTTGCAAAAGTCGAAGCCGCGAAAGATATCGGAAAAATCAGCGCTGTTTAGTATGCCTTCGAAGCCCTCTCGAGCACCAGCAAGCAAGGGACAGTGGAAGGTCTGGTGAATATAATCATCAGACTGTCCACATCTGCAAGTATTAAAATTTATCGCATTAATACGATAAAGGTACTCATTGTCATAAGTGTAGCCGGTTAGGATTCGATTCAGTATTTTAATTTCCCTAGGACTTCTTTTAAATTTGTTGAACTATGTTTTTTGGGGTCTCTGAGTACAGATTTGTGCAAAAAGGCTATGTTTGTTGCTGGAGAAGATGAGGAAATCTTCATACCATTTATTATAAATTGTGTTACGTATGTTTCTGAGCGCTTCGTCAATAGTAAATTTAACGTCAAGGATGTTATCACAGTTTACCGCTGTTTTAGCTAAAGAGTCGGCAGTTTCATTTCCAGCGATGCCAACATGGCTGGGAGTCCAGATAATGGACACATTGTCAAATTCTGCTTCTTGGATTAGGTTATGGACTTCAAGAATGAGGTGGTTATGCGTCTTGTCCTTGGCAAGAAGATTACAGGCAGTAAGGCTATCAGTAAATATTGAAATTTTGTTATAATTAGTCTCTTTGGCAATTTGCAGAGCTTTCAAAATGAGGATGAGCTAAAATTGATTTTAAAGGTATACTCCCTTGAGTTGGTATAGTTGTATACACCACAGCCTGCCGAACTGGGGCCAACAGAGGCGTCCGTGTAGAAAATGCAGAAGTTGGAATTCCTATAGTCGTTTAAGATGGCAGAATACACGGCTTGGATACAAACAGGGGCTAAG